GCTCCAGCAACGTTATTTTCAAACAGGTAATAGTATAATGGGTTTTGTGAGAACTGTGGACTATTGTCATTGACGTCAGAGAGCTGAATGTTCAGAGTTTTTAAACTAGACAATAGAGGTTCACCGCAGTCAGTGGCTTTTATAGTTATTTCGTACTTTGGCTCTTGTTCTCGGTCAAGAAAGGTTTTGGTGACAACTGAATATATGTTCTCCTTGTAGGAGGGCTTCAGTTCAAAAGGTACTCGATCTGTTAATTGTATAATAACTTTTCCATTTTCAGCCGAGTCTTTATCCGTTACACTGATAAGTGAAATAACTGTACCAGGTTTGGAATTTTCAAAGATAGTGTTTGACAATGATGTGACTTCTATTTCCGGTGCATTGTCATTTACATCCTTTATCTTTATAATTAGTCTGCACCTGCCTGTTAGTGGAGGTTGCCCTTTGTCAGATGCTTGAACATCTAGTTTATACGTTTCCGAATCTTCATAATCAAGTGCTCCTTTCAGAGTAATTTGCCCACTTACACTATCTAAACTGAATATCTCATAAACTTTGCGTGCTAAAGTTTTGCTTAGGCTGTATTCAATCTCTCCATTAGTCCCTTCATCGGGATCTATTGCATTCATTTTCGCTACAGTCGTACCAATAGGGGCGATTTCTTTTATTTCAATTTGATAAATGTCCTGACTGAACGTGGGACGGTTGTCATTACTGTCAAGAACAATGATAGAAACATTGAGAGTCCCTGATTTTGGAGGTTTGCCTCCATCTACACCTGTTAAAAAAAGTAAATGTTTTTTATTTTTTTCTCTGTCTAATGACTTTTTTAAAACTAAAAATGGTACTTTTTCCTCGTCGCTTTGGCTGATATCTATATCAAAGTTATCGTTCGAGGTTAATATGTAAGTGTTTATAGCATTCATTCCAGCATCGGGATCTCGGGCCGCGTGTAACTGGAATCGTGTTCCAGGAGATGAATGTTCAGCTATTTCAAACGTCTGCTCTTTTTCAGAAAAACAAGGGGTGTGATCGTTCACATCTGTAATTTCCACAATAACATGATGCATTTCCAAAGGATTTTCAACAAGAATTTTCAACTCAATTTGGCACGCTCCGTTTCCGTGACAAAGCTCTTCTCTGTCGATTTTTTTCAAAACCTCTAACGCACCGTTATCCGAGTTCACCTCGAAAAAGACGTCCTTTGATCCAGAAACTACACGGAACCGTCGGTCTAATAGAGACATTTTGTCAAGACCAAGATCTTTTGCAACGTTTCCCACAACAGTCCCAGCTTTCACCTCCTCCGGAATAGAGTATCTCAATTCAGTTGCAGCCTTTTTCCCGAAAACCAGCAGTAGAGTCAAATGAAGAATTAACCAACCGTGGAAACTTGATCGAAATCCTCCATTTCCCTCCATTGCTTCTCAGTTACTAACATAAACGTGCGTTCCTTTTAATAGAAGATAAATGTACAAGTTCCGAGCACCACACGATCTCCAGAGCAAATCTTATTTAAAACACTGACTGCGTCGTCTGTTGAGATCCAACAGAACAAAAGCATTGTTAGGGGAGGGACCATTGGGGACTCCTTATGTTGTAGTGACACCAAGAGGAAAACATTGTAAGGATATATGACGTATCAAGGCTTTCCATTTGACATTGTTCGGCATTTTCTTAGGAACTGTAATATTGTAGCTCTGGGCAGTTCAGTTTGAAAAATATTTCCGAAAAGCCTGTGGTTGCTCGGATGCTTATCATTTGATATATAAATTCTACACTTGGCAACTATTTTGCAATCACTTTCTTTCAAAGACTCCACTGCTTTGCACTTGTAATGATAGTGTATTATTTAAAAAACAAAACAAAGAAACATAATATACTTGAAAAAGGTTTAAGACAATGATATTCAGCACCATGGACAGGGCTATCTTTTTCACAGTTTACCTTTCTTTCTTTCCCTTTTCTTGAATCATTGCTAAGCAAGTTTGTGCCTCCTGTCAAGGTTGTTAGAATATTCTCCAGATGCAAGGTCATACCACATAGTCATCCCATATTTAATCAATAAGGGCAAAAAGGCTTTATACAGATGGTGTCATCATATGATAGACCATCTTCAAGCCTAATCCGTGCCCATATGTCCCTGTGGCTGAAGTATACCAATTACCAGTCACTTGTCCCATTACAGCATGATTTGGAAAGTCTTCTGGAATAAATCAGTCTTTCTAAAAGCATTTGATTTCGAGTGTTGTTTGTTTAACATTTGATATCTGATGTATATTAAACATGTATCTCACATCTGTTTAGATGGACAAAACACACCAACCATTGTCAGATGCTACCTCCAACATCAACCAATAATTAACTCATGATTACACAACCACAAACAAATTTGATCAAGATCATGTGATCCTGCATGATGAGTTTTTATTTTCCATTTTGCTTTGAATATAGTGTAATCATTTGTTTCTATCTTTCTTTTTTTTTTTGCGACTCTGGACATAAAATGTATAAATTTTATAGTATTGTATTGTCTGTGTCTTAACTTCTGAAAAATTAAGTTTAATTGAAAACACAATTGGCAATACAGCAAAAGTGATAAAAGATCCAGTGTGCTACGTTAGGAGTTTAAGGGATTGTGGATTGTTGTGTGGTGGTGACCAAAAGGGAAGGGACATTTCTTGTAATAAAAACTCTGTGATATATTTCCTGATTCATTCCAAACTGTATTCTTGGATCTTACACATACTTTTAAATGATTTTGAATTAAATCCTGATAGCAATTGTATTCTTTTTGTGTCACCTGATCTATTGCTTTGGGATCACATCTCTTTATATACAAAAAATGCTAAAAAGGTTGCATACAAGTTTGAGTTGGATTTTAACTGTTTTTGTTGTTGCTGTGCAAAATAGATTAAACAGTTTTTTTTTTTTTTTATCTTACCTCTGTAGATGTATGTCTCCTGTCAGGCAGCACCAGTGTATTAGCATGACTCC